GGGGCCTGTAGCTCCTTTGTTTTGGCCAATTTCTCCCATTTGGAATGGGTGTAGGTACCCATTGCCTGTACCCCTATTGTATCTAGGAAGTAATTAACTTGCTTTTGATCTTACAGGCTCAGGGGCCTTGTCACAGATGCGACTTGCAGCTATGGACTTTTGAGTTAATGCTGAAATGAGTTAAGACTTTGGGGGGCTGTTGGGAAGGCATGATTGGTTTTGAAATGTGAGGACATGAGACTTGAGAGGGGCTGGGGTGGAATGATATGGTTTGGCTGTGTACTCACCCAAATCTCATCTTGAACTGTAATAATCCTCATGTGTCAAGAGCAGGGCTAGGTGGAAATAATTGAACTATGGGAATGATTTCCCCCATAATGTTCTTTCAGTAGTGATTAAGTCTCACAAGATCTATGGTTTTATAAATGCGAGTTCCCTGGTGCAAGCTCTCTTACCTGCCACCATTTAAGACATGACTTTGCTCCTCATTCACCTTGTGCCATGATTATGAGGCCTCCCCAGTCATGTGGAACCATGAGTCAACTAAACCTCTTTCCTTTATAAATTTCCCAGTCTCAGGTATGTCTTTATTAGCAGCGTGAGAACAGACTAATATACAACTACCAAAGGCATAACCTGTGAAAAAAAAATTGATAAGTTTGACTCTACTAAAATTTAAACTTTGGATCTGCAAAAGATACTATCAAGAGAATGAGAAGACCAGCCACAGACTGGGACAAAATACTTGCAAAAGACATATCTGATAAAGGACTGTTATCCAAAATGTACAAAGAACGCTAAAAACTCAACAATAAGAAAACAACCTCATTTTAAAAATGGGGTTAACAGAACTGAACAGACACCTCATCAAAGAAGATGGACAATGGCAAATAAGCATACAGAAAGATGCCAACATCGTAAGTCATTAGGGAATTGCAAATTCAAACAATGAAATACTGCTATACACCTATTAGAACAGCCAAAATTCAAAACACTAACAACCGAAATCCAAAACACTAACAATATAAAATGCTGGCAAGGATGTGGAACAATATGAACTCATTCATTGCTGGTGGAAATGCAAAACAGTATAGACTCTTTGGAAGACATTTTGACAGTTTCTTGCAAAACTGAACATACTCTTGCCATATGATTCAGCAATTGTGGTCCTTGGTATTTTCTTTCTTTCTTTCTTTTTTTTTTTTTCCAGAGATGGGGTCTCACTCTGTCACCGAGGCAGGAGTCCAGGGGTGTGATCCCAGCTCACTGCAACCTCAACCTCCTGGGCTCAAGTGATCCTCCCACCTCAGCCTCCCAAGTAGCTGGGACCACAGGCACTTGCCACCATGCCCAGCTAATTTTTTGCATTTTTGGTAGAGAAGGTTTTCACCATGTTGCCCAGGCTGGTCTCAAATTCCTGAGCTCAAGCGCTCAGTCTGCTTTGGCCTCCCAAGGTGCTGGGATTATAGGAGTCAGCCACTGTACCTGGCCTTCTCCTTGGTACTTATCCAAATAAGTTGAAAACCTGTATCTACACAAAACCTGCACACTGATATTTATAGCAGTTTTATTTATAATTGCTAAAACTTGGAAGCCACCAAGTTGTCCTTCAGTAGGTGAACATATAAGTTCTGTGGTACATCCAGCAGTGAAATATTATTCAGCACTAAAAATAAATGAGGTATGAAATCATGCAAAGACATGGACAAGCTTAAATGCATATTAGTAAGTGGAATAAGGCAGTAAGAAAAGGCTATATACTGTGTGATTCCAACTGTGTAACATTCTGGAAAAAGGTAAAACTATGGAGACAGTAAAAGTAGCAGTGGTTGTGAAGATTAAGATAATGTAAAGCATTTTGTAAACTGAAAAGTAAATGAAATACCGTCCCCATAATGTTTTGGGACTTAAGGGTCTGAGGCTGGATAACTCTTTCTGTATTTTTCTGTACTTTGTAAAATTTTGGGGTGGAAGCTTAAATGGTATTTAAGAAATCCAAACATTATATTCAGAACCCCTAAGTTCCTAATTGTGCCACATTTACTGCTGTTTTGAAATGACAAAAGAAGAAAATCTTTAGAAGAGAGGGGACTCCATAAACTTCAGATTCCAAGTATCTTCAGAGCAAGACATCCAGTGTGACTTTCCTGTTACTCCAGAATTATAGTCGAGAACAAAAGGCACTGAGTCCACCTCCTTTTAAGTACAGTGAAGAAGCCTGAAGTTGACAGCAACCACCAGATGCAAAGCAGGTTCTCTGTGCACTGGTTACCGGTTCAGTCCACGGCATTTTGGACTGCACTTTTCCTATATCCAGTGTCCAGTGACACAGAACACTCACACACAAGTTACATGAAGTGAGTTTATTACAGACAGGCAGCAAGGGACAAGAGAAGCATAAGTCATAATGACCATATCTCTCAAGGCTGAGGAAAACGGCTTAGGGAGGATGGCGTCTCATTGGCTCGTGCACCGCTTGCACTGCAACTGAGGGACCCCAGAAAGCAGTTTGCTCTCAGTTTTAACCACAGGGAAATGGAATGTGCTGGGCTAGTACTAGTTGAAGGACATCCTATTTCTAGAAGAGACTGGAACACAGCCTAGGTTGTTCTGGTCAGTTCTTCCTTGTCTACAGTATATTGCATTCCAACACATTCTACAGTTATTCTCGAGAACTACAAGTGAGAAAAGGGGAAGAAACTGTGTTGGTTCAAGGCCACCCAGAGAACTATTCTGTATGAGACACTTCCAACCCTAGCCTACTAACAGCTGACAAAGAAGAAAAGTGGTACCACCGCCCCACCACTCTTTAGGAGGTTGAACATCCTGGGAGTTAGGGGACCTGCTACTAGGAGGAAACTGTAGGAGGAAAATAAGCAAAGAAATGGCTTGGGAGAGATGCCAGGATCTGCATGTTGGTGTGTCAGATGGACATGTGGCCAGAATCCTTTTGCTTAAGTTTGCAATTCAAAGAAATACAGGGGCCGGGCGCAGTGGCTCACACCTATAATCCCAGCACTTTGGGAGGCCAAGGCCGGCGGATCACCTGAGGTCAGGAGTTCATAGACCAACATGGTGAAACCCCGTCTCTACTAAAAATATAAAAAATTAGCTGGGCGTGGTGGCAGGCACCTGTAATCCCAGCTACTTGGGAGGCTGAGGCAAGAGAATCGCTTGAACCCAGGAGGTGGAGGTTGCAGTGAGCCATGATTGTGCCATTGCACTCCAGCCCGGGAAACAAGAGCGAAACTCGGTCTCGGAAAAAAAAAAAGAAAGAAAGAAAAGAAAAAAGAAATACAGAAGATAGAACCTGTCTGCGCCTGCACACCTGAGAGCAGGCCACAGGAACATGAGATTGATGTCTTTAATCTTGTCAGAACCGATAGACATTGAGGCAAAGAAGTGAGTATTTACAGAAATGTGGCAAGGTGTCAGCATGGGAGGTGGGGTGGGGTCTGCAGAATACATGGCCAAATCTCAATGGGACACCGGTGTCTAGGGAGCTTCCTTAACAAGGATCATGTAGCAGCATAAACTGCAGCAATGGACAGCGAGGAAGAAGACTGTAGGCTTCCCTGATCGTGGCCTTTCGCCTCTCCTCCTTTGTCCATCATCAGAGGAGCTACTGCAGAGGACACCAGGAGAGAAACAAGTGTGTGAAGGGTATGCCTGGTGCCCAGCCCTCAGTTCTTCAGGCTGCACTGCCAAAGGGAGGAAAATTGCACTGCGAAAGGGAGATGGACATGAGATTCAACTTTTAAAGTAAAGTTAAATGAGTCTTAGAAACCAAAATGAGAACAGTTGAAAAAGGGACAATGTTAGAAAAATTAAGTCACATAGCCAAGACGTGAACAGATGTTTCCCAGGGGGAAAAAGAGGCTCTAGCGAACTAAGAATAGGTAGGTATTACAAAAATGCAACTGTTTGCACACACACGTGTGTAAGTATGTGTGCATACATGTGTATGTGTAAACAGCTGCGTTTTTGTAATACCTCCCCAATCTTTACATATGTACTTATAGAAATAATATAAATATTATTGCACACACACATATATATGATGATAGAGGATGTGGCATGTAGGATGAACCTTGAGAAATGGGTTGGAATGTGGGCAATACCAAGTTGGGAACGAGGAATTCAGGAGAACAGCTTGAACAAAAAGGGCAAAGACAGTAGAGACTTGCCGCGGGGAAGTACAGAACCATTCTAGAGGACCACTTCGAAGTCCAGATGGACAGAAACATTAGGGGATTAAAGGGGATGATAAGGCTTGGATGGGCAGTTTACCTCAAACAGTGGCGGTGACTGAAGTCAGGCACAATGTCTATTTTTCTCCCCACTGTAAACCCAACTCACAGCGGTTGGTCAAAGTCTTGCCGAATAAGTGAAAAAAAAAGAATGAAGTGACTGGACTACCAAGCTGTAGAGCCTTTCTTTTATGTACTAAGCGATGTACAGCCAAGAAAGGATACCTTAGATGAGAATGACATGGGTAGAGGGGTGTTTCAGGAACATGGCTAAAGAGTTTCGTTCCCAGCCTCAGCTGGGAGGCGAATAAAAGACAGTAGCAGGTCCACTCCAGCCTTTGAGGACACTTTTGGGAACCCTGGTGGATTCCCAGCCTCAACACTTACTGAGGGCTGCTTTCCACCCCTAGGTTCTTTCCTGCATTTGTAATTTCCGGTCTACTCAGGACACTTTTACTCCTCAGAAACCGTTTCTGGGGGGGCCGTGAGAGGAGACACTGTAAGACGTCCTGGACCCAAGGGACGCGCGGGTCCCCTGGAAACGCCCATCGCATGGACGACCGCACGTGCCTTGCTAGGGTTCCGTTCAGAAAATCCAGGGTCGTTCGCTCATCGCCCTCCACACGACCAGGGGGCGCTCGCGGTCTCCGCCCGGCTAGTTCGCAGGCGTGCGCCTTCTCTCACTGCGCCGGGCTGGGCCATATTCTCGGACCTAGAAGCCGCGTCAGAATTCCACGCTGGCCAATCAGAACTGTCCATGTACTAGTAGGGGCGGGGCTGCCAAGGGAGGAGGAAGATGGCGGCGGGGGCGAGGTGAGGTGTTGGCAGTGGAAAGGGGTTCGGGCTCGGGGGGCGGGGGGACGCGGAGCGATGGCCCGCGCCGGCCGTAGGGGCGGATAAAAAGCCGTCGCGCCGCGGGAGTGGGCGGGAGGGAGAGGTGGTGCCCGAGGGCCACAAGAGTATGACGGGGCTGTACGAGCTGGTGTGGCGGGTGCTGCACGCGCTGCTCTGTCTGCACCGCACGCTCACCTCCTGGCTCCGCGTTCGGTTCGGCACTTGGAACTGGATCTGGCGGCGCTGCTGCCGCGCCGCTTCTGCCGCGGTCCTAGCGCCGCTCGGCTTCACGCTCCGCAAGCCCCCGGCAGTCGGCAGGAACCGCCGTCACCACCGGCACTCGCGCGGGGGGTCGTGCCTGGCCGCCGCCCACCACCGAATGCGCTGGCGCGCGGACGGCCGTTCCTTGGAGAAGCTGCCTGTGCATATGGGCCTGGTGATCACTGAAGTGGAGCAGGAACCCAGCTTCTCGGACATCGCGAGCCTCGTGGTGTGGTGTATGGCCGTGGGCATCTCCTACATCAGCGTCTACGACCACCAAGGTGAGGCCCAGTGCGGTGGTGGGGGGTGGCCGAGGTGTCTTGGACCGCTGGACCGTCTGGCGGGTGGTGCCCAGGGCGTGAGTTGCCGCGGCCTCTCTGCAAATCACAGCGCTAGCGCTTTCGAGGACGGGAGACAAGCTTTATTGAACACCTACTAAGTCGCTGGATTTGACTCGGTCGCTTTTTAACGTTTTAAAAATACTCCTTGGCCAGGCGTGGTGGCTCATGCCTGGAATCCCAGCACTTTGTGAGGCCGAGGCGGGCGGGTCATCTGAGGTCGGGAGTTCGAGACCAGCCTGACCAACATGGAGAAACCTCGTCTCTACTAAAAATACAGAATTAGCCGGGCGTGGTGGCACATGCCTGTAATCCCAGCTACTAGGGAGGCTGAGGCAGGAGACTCGCTTGAACCTGGGAGGCGGAGGTTGCGGTGAGCCTAGATCGCGCCATTGCACTCCAGCCTGGGCAACAAGAGCAAAACTCCGTCTCAAATAATAATAATAATAATAATAACAATAAAAATTAAAATACCCCTTATTCGTTATAGTAGCTCAGTAATGTAGATGGTATTTGTATACCCTTGTCTCCCAAGAGGGAGCAAGGTTTAAAAACATTAACTGATTTGCCCAAGGCCACAAAGATGGGGCCTTGGGCAATGGGGATATTGGAATTTTAGCCATTCTGTGCTTTTTCACAATCTTTGCCTTCAGTTACACCACAGTGTTTCTTTAAGAGAGCTTCCAGGCGCTGTTCTTAAGTCGCAGTCTGGCTATAGAGGTCATAGGCATGGGCTGTGTTAGGTACTGCAAATGGGAGCGGTTGGAGTCAGGTGGTATTTGAACTGGGTTTATGAAAAATCTGTGAGAGATTGGATAGGCAGAAAAGAAAATGGTCCCTTTCTGTCTTGGAAGCCTGGGATGGTTTGTGATCCTTCATTATCAGTGCCCAACACAGTACTTGATAGAATTCTCCTCTCATACGTTTTGAGTTTTTGTAAGTACAAAAATTCAATACTGATTGGGTAGCTACAAACCTAAAGCCCTGTGCTAGGCACATTCCTTGGAATCTTGCATTTAATTCCATGGACTCTCAGGCTTGTTAGGAGGTAGGCACATGCTCACATATTTGATGTGGTTAATAACAATAAGTGTTGAGAGTAAAGTTACTACTGTGAGAAGAGAGGAGAGAAATTGTGAATGAAGGAACTTGAGAAGTTCATGCAGTGGAGGTGGGATTTAAGCAGGACCTGGAAGAATAGGTAGGAGATAAGTTGAGGAATACTCAGGTTTGGGATGTCAGGTTTGGGTTTCAATCAGATCTTGAAAGCATTGGGATTTCTTTAAAGATAAAGATGTGAGAAGAATGTTTAGGAGTATTGGTATGAAGGGAAGAAAATGAAAGTTTTATTCATTTTCAATAAATTACCTGTGTGCTCTAGAAAAGCATAAATCTTTGTCAAATAGGTAAATTTAAGTGCAGGGTTTTGTCAGAAAGGGTAGGAATAGGCCAGACAGTAACTCTTACAGGGTGATCTCTGATTGCCCTATCTTTACTGCAGCCCGCAAGGAACGTGATGACGCAGTAGCCTGTCATCACCAAATAATGGTTTGCCCTGTAGGGTAAAGTTTGATATATTCAGGGACTGACATTTATGGAACTTGCTAAAGAACTCAGCAGACCAATAGTAGTCATGAGACTGTTAGGAGATGACACAATCCATGCCTAAACCGATACAACCAGTATTGTCTGGCGAAAAAAAATAAGTGAAGCAAAAGTGGACATCAAAGACATTAAGCAATGTGGTGGATTGATGTATAGCCAGGTGATTTAAAGCAAGTATCTTTTAAAGCAAGTATCTTTATCTTCCAGTAGGGAAGGAAAATGTATAGCTAAATTGTTTGACTTGATGACTGTGCCTACTAGTACAGACTATAATGTTGCCACATTTCCTTGTTCTGGCATTTCCTGTGTTTAAATTGCTGATGTGATTCAGAAGTATCCTGTGTCACAGTTGCTAAAAGAAAAATGATTGCTAATTAAGAGGAAGAAGTAAGCTAAGCCAAGTTTTGACTGAGAACTGAAAGGCACCTTAAGGAGCATTTTCAGTGAAAAGGCTTACAGAATTTTGTGTCTTAACTGTAAAATAATTTTTTTGTTTGTTTGCTTTTTAAAGGAATAAGGAATAATATTCCTGAAATAAGAGATCTTCAATTAGTCCATTCTTGGTTTTGATTCGTTCATGCATTCATTTACAGGTGACAGTCGGGGTCTGTTAAGTACCAGATACTCTTCCAGACATGGGAATGCAGCAGTGTACTCATGGAACTTAGATCTCAGTGGGAGTCTGACAAATAATATACGTGGGTAAATATGTAGTAATGTAAGTGCAATGAGGAAAAATAAAGCAGGGAAGGGAAGATAGGAATGTTGAAAAGTCAGTGGTGTAGGAAGGGGTACAGTTTTACGTAGGGAGGCCGAGGAAAGGCTTAGTAACTTTGAATATAGACTTGAAAATATAGGCCCTGTGGATATGTAAGAATTACTCAGAGGGAGTATAGACACATAAGTTTTATTTAGTGTTTCTTTTTTTTTTTTTTTTTTTTTTTTTTGAGATGGAGTCTTGCTCTGTCGCCCAGGCTGGAGTGCGGTGGTGCAATCTAGGCTCACTGCAACCTCTGTCTCCCAGATTCAAGCAGCTCTCCTGTCTCAGCCTCCCTGAGTAGCTGGGACTACAGGTGTGCACCACCACACCCTGCTAATTCTTGTAGTTTTAGTAGAGACAGGGTTTTGCCATATTGGCCAGGCTGGTCTCAGATTCCTGACCTCAGGTGATCTGCCCGCCTCAGCCTCCCAAAGTGCTGGGATTACAGGTGTGAGTCACTGCACCCGGCCATATTCAGTGTTTCTAAATACACATCTATTTAAGCTTCTTTCTAGATAGATATGTAACATGTAAAAAATCCTGTTGACATAAATGCCACTGGGATACAAGAAGTACAAGAAATGGTGTTTCTTAAGGAGTTTCCACTCAAGTAATGATGTCCATTAAAAATTAACACAAGCTAATATAGAAATGCTAAGTGAATGGCAGAGACTTTATTTAAGGAGGAAAAAATGGAAAATTTCCCAGGTTACCCCCATATTTGTCTGGTAAGGAAGGGAGCAACACCTGAGCTGGACCTACTCACAAAGATAGAATTGGGATTGGCGTGAACAGTGTTCTCTGTGTGTGTGAATGGGGATTTCACTAATGGCAGCATTCCCATTAGACTAGCTTCAGTAATAGCGTTGAGTAGAGTGTTGGGAGCAGTGAATATAGTAGGTTGATTTATGTAATGAACAGTTGGGAAATGAGGTAGGATGAAGTCTTGGACAGTTATTCTGGTTATCTGTTGCTTTGTAGAAATCTACCCAAAGCATAGTGTTTTAAAACAACAATTTATGTATTGACTTAGTTCAGTTGGGCAGTTTTTCCTTTGGGTCACTCATAAGCTTTCATTCAGATAGAGTCTGGGACCTAAAGGTTTCTCCTTGTGTCTGGTGCCCGGTTTTTGATGGCTGAAATAGATGGGGCAGGTTTGTCATCTGGCTTCACATGGTCTGGAGGTTGTGGCTAGCTTGGGCTTTTTCTTTTAATAGTGGCTTCAGGGTAACCAGTTAGCTAACTTCCCGCAGAATGAATGTTTCCAGAGACTTAGCCAAAGGCTGAAGCTGAGAGATGTCTTAGGACCTAACCTAGGAAATCACGCAGTGTTATTTTTTCTATGTTCTCTTGGTCAGAGAAGTCTCACGTCTGTTCTGCATCAAGAAAGTGGAGAAATGGACTTCACCTCTCAATGAGAAAATGGCTTGTGTAGAAAGGTTGGGTGAGGATTTGAAGGGGGATTGAGGGGCAACCACTTTGAAGACAAGCTTACCACCTCACATTTTCTCCTGTCCTACACCCCTTTGCCCTCAAATTTGTATTTAAATTCGTTCTAATTATGGTTGAATCTAGATAATAATATTTAATCCTTAGACTAAAAGATCTATTATATTGACGTTGATTTGACTCTGCCAGCAAACTGATCTTTATGTTTTTCATTTACCTGCAATATTTCTTAATTATAATAGAGTCTGCAAGTAATTCTTCCATCTTTCAGAAATTCGAGTTGTTCTCTCAGGTCAGTGATCAGGAATTTTTTGAGCTCAGAATTCTAGCAAGGTTTTGCTGTTCTGTCTATATGATTATAATTTAAGAAATGACCGTAACTGGGATGGTACAAGAACCAGGGGTTGGGGTAAATGGATTTTGTCGTTCTAGTCTTAGCAGTGTTGTTTGCCTGTGTCTCACATGCACGTACACTTGGCTCCAAGTTATCTGGATATGTATTGTTATCTTAAGTGATGGAACTTGTTCTTATTTCCTGGCTTTATTGTGCCTTGCTGGGAACCTTGCTGTGGGTCAGTACTTTTCAAAAGCTGTCTGTGGACCATCTGTGAATTAGTCATTGGGGATGCTTATAAAAAATACAGGTTCGACACATTTAGTAATCAAACTTAATGAGGGAACTGGGACCTGGGCATCTCTGTTTTTATCAAGCTACCTATGTGATACTTCTGCACACTGAAGTTTAACCCTAACGCAGATCAAAGGATACTCTGCTACTTACCTTACATTAGATTATTTGTATTTCATGTTCCTTTTCATGATTGAGGATAATTTGGGATAGGCCTTAGGATTATTTGCTGTAAATTGGAATGAACCAGAATAAGGCATTGCCTTCTGTGTGAGAATTCAACAGTAACACAACAGATTTTTTTTTTGTGCTGCTCTTTCTAGCGTTATTTCCTTAGTTTATTTAAATCGAAGCTAGGTTTCTTTTGAATTGGTTTTTGCATACAAGTTTCTCACAGTAACATTTTAAAAGTCTGCCCAGTGTATCCCACCTTTTCAACCTGTTTCTCAGTGCTTTGCATACCTTTTGCTACGTCTGTATTTAGATTATTTAATGTTCTGT